AGAGCATTCATGTGGCAATCAACACAAAAGGCGCCAGAACTGACGTTGTGCGCTCCAATGTCGAGAAACCCATATCATGTTAGCATCACCTCAAGAGTCGGGCTCGGAAGAGCAACGGCAGAAGGGGAGGCCGAGGAAGGGCCAGAAGTCAACACTGAGAATGCACATGTGCACGCAGAGTCCCACAAAGCGTTACTTTCAAGGTTGACTGACCGAGCCGCCTGGGGCACTGGTACCTAGACGGTATGTCAAATCGAGGGTTGCGCAGCTTGGAGTAGCTGAAATGCATCGCGAGGTGGTCCTTGGAGAGGGGATTTGCTTTTGAGGGTCACTGCTTCATCCCAGCCTGCATATTTCAGCCAAACTATTCCTCACGCTGCTGGCAATTGCATAGTAGGGAACCTGCCATGCAGAACCGACACCTCTCGGAAAGACAACGTGAGGCCCTCGTGACCTCACCCGGCCTTCACTGAGTGCACGGGATCCGGCACACGGTCTGGCGGTCCATTGTGTGTACGGATGTCACGACGGCGAAGGTTCTAGACCTTGCCGGTGGACTATGGCGGGAGACGGGACCCGAGGATTCCCATCTCGAACAAAGTCCACCTTTCTGGGACTACACAGCCCTGGGATCGAGTCTGGGGCGGGAGGAGAGGCATTCGGGGTGGGCTTTGGTGACTTTTGTATCATGATGACACGGCGACTAGGTTTCAGGCCAGGCAGAACCCCTTGCCCGGGCCGTCGCTCGCCGGGCGATGAAGCAGCAGCCCAGCTTGCCCAGCAGTGGCCCAGATAACACTATCAGTCCTTCGACTCAAATCGCCTAGCCACCCATCCATTCGTGCATGCATTTCGATCAATGGCTGCCATGTTTGCTTTTTGGGGTTTGTCTTTGCCCCCCCCCCCCCCGGTACCAAGCGATCGCGGTAAGTGGACTCGAGCACAAACCGTAGACGCCATCAACGTCATAGCCTCCGAGCTGAAAATGCTTGTGCTAGGCTGTCAGAAAAGGGAGCAAGCACAACGAAGGTTGTGCAAGGGAGCGAGCGTTGGGCGCTGAGCATTGATGCCCTGACACATCCACCGAGCCTATTCGGGGAGGGCTAGATCACCAGCTGCACGGTAGAAGCAAGAAGAAGAAAGCCAGAGGAGTCAGAAGAGGCGGCTCAGGCGTGCGGGACTTGGGCGGTTGTGTTTTTGCGCGTAAACGCTCATGCCATGCTATGCGACGCCTTGATACGAGTATTAGAGCGAGTGCGTGTCTTGGGAGGTTGCCGTCCAGCCCGTTGACGCTCGAAAGTGGCCCGGACCGGAGAGGGCGGAAAGTGGAAGAGCAAGGGGGGCAAGTGGAGACGACGAGCGAGAGCGAAGGTGAGTGGATGAAGAGGCAACAGGTGGGAACCTGAGCCTGAGCTGAGGTGAGGAGGAATGCGGGAGACCGATCGATTTCCACCTTCGACTTGCCTTCGCGGTGCTTCTGCGCTTCAGCGAGGCAGGGGCCGCCAGTAAGAGGTGAGAAGAGGCAGTATGACATAATCGGCCTGGAAGATGTGCGGCAAATCCCTTCGAAGCCTAAGGCATCAATGTCTTTCTTCTCGGTACCGTAAGCAAAGTTTCCCCATCCCTCTCTCCGCAGGTTCCGGACAGGTCACTCGCAACAAGTCTGTATAGGTAATCGCCCGCCAAAAGGGCGCTGATGTGGACAGGCCAGTCACCTGTCTGCCCTGTGTCCCGTCTGTCCCGTCTGTCCCTAGCGTGTCCCAAGTGGCCCAAGTCCCATCGCCTCCAACAGGCTAACGCCACTTGCAGCACCTGGTCTCCATCTTTTTACTGGGTAAAGGCCCGTAAGGCGCTGCTCAACTGCGTAACTGCCCTGCGTAGGGATGCGCTAGCAGTGCCTTACTCTGGCTGGTCCCCTTTCTGCTCCACCCATTGACACACGTACGTACTCGGCACTCATGTCATTGCACCTCTTGTTCTCCTCCCACTCCGACCTCGTAACTAAACCTTCCCTTTTCCCAACGACCATCCCCGATTCCATCTTCAAAACCCAAGAAGCAACTTCATCTTCAGAAAAGAGACCCCTATCGAGACAATCGAGTCACCCCGCATCGAATCATTTACGAGACTGATTACCAGACCGTCGACAAGATGATGCTGAAATCACTCGCCGCCGCCGGCCTGGCGATTACGGCCACGCAAGCCTTCATCGTTGTTCCCGAAATCTCCGAAGCCGACAGCGACATTGTCAAGACTCTCCCTTTTGAGCAGCCCTCCTCTGAGATGGGCCTCGCGAGCCACCGCGTCAAGGTCGACTGCCCCGGATGCCCCCTGACGATGCGTCACCCCGATGGCCGCTATCACACAATGACCAACATCGACAACCATCTCGAGCTGACCTTCTCCATCGACACCGACGCTTCTGGCGTCGACCACCTCCTTGTCAACGATTTTGAGCTCTACCCCAAGCCCGCCTCGTGGTACAAGGCCCTCCGCGCCCCTCAGATCCCCGACTTCACCGAGGCCGCCACGAAGCACCCTCGCAAGACCGACCCCAACACTCCTCAACTGGGCTACAGCCTAGGTGTCCGCCCCGTGGCCAAGGACACCGAGCAGCAGCTCGAGCTCGTCGAGGTTGACCTCCAGATCATCGAGGTTGGAAACAGCTTCGTCAGCGATGTCCCCAACGTCAACGTCAAGCTGATCAAGTCCCCCGCCGGCAATCTCATGATCGCCAACGTCGAGCAGACTGAGACCTCCGTCCCGTCCCACCACGAGGAGGAGCACGTCGAGGCGCCCGCCGAGGACTGCACCACCTTCTACTGCAAATGGCGCGCCGCCATCCTGAGCAAGATGCACCGTATGAAGCACTGCGGTGGCCGCAAGAACCACGGAGGCATGCGCGGACAGCACCGTCACGGCCACCACAATGGTCAGGTTAGACACCACCACCACACCTGGGGTCAGCTGGCCAAGAACATCGCCTCGCATATTCTCCTTCCCGTCCTCATCGGCATCGTTGCTGGCGTCAGTGTTAGCATGTAAGTGTTTCACTCCCCTGGTTTTCCCGGGGTCGCGTGACCCTTCTCCTTTTCCCGTGCCGAGCTCCACTAACATGGCCTGTCAGCATTGGCATGATGGTTGGCACCTTCGTCGTCTGCCTCTGGCGCGTCTTCGTCCGCCGCCAGCCCCCCTTCGCCCGCCGTCACTGCCGCCGCCGTGCGCGCAAGTCTGCCCACCGCGAGGCCGGTGCTATCGAGGAGAAGTCGGAGCTTATGGCCGAGACCGAGGACCTTCCTCCTTACAAGGACGACGTTGAGGAGGCCCCAAGACCGAGACCGCTCAGGTCTAAAGGAGCAGCTCCCGATTTGAAAAAATGCAACTACAAAACAATCACCCAAGTGTGAGACCGAACTGATGATACCACTTTTCCTTTGACTCTGTTTTCTTGCTTTACTTTGCTTTGCCTCTGCCTAGGTACTAAACAACACTGAGAAACCCAAAAATGCAACATATTAAAACACACCAAGATTGGACAAGAGAGGAAACTACACAACTCATAAAGAAGCGGCGTTTTCATATTTATCTACGGGAACGGAATTGGCAAATCAGGAGGGATTTACTTTTTTTCTTCTTTACCGCTCGTCGACACATTACACTGAGACGTCTTGCTATGCTACGGTTGGAGACGGGACGAAACGTGTGTTGGACAATGTCCTTGAACGAACAAGCAACGCACTACACTCTCATTCCATCCACAAAAAAAAAGGACCACTTTGCTATCAAGACGGCACAGAGACAAAACACACAAGAACCGCAGCATCGGGATTCGGAAATTGTACCCATAGGCTCCAAATACCCACATTCCTTGAATTGAAGACTCTTAGCGAATCAATGCTGTACGATGGCTCGCGATGTACTGTGATGTGGCCACGGCTTATACCGTGTGTGCTGGTGCTGTGCATACCTTCAGAGAATCATCGTTCGCCGCCGCGGGCGGGAACTGTTGACCCCGATCGATGCGCGATGGGGGAAGCGGACAAGACAAGAGACCACGCGGCGAACATCTCTCCGGGCCATTTGTTTACTGTTCACTTCCGGCGATGCCGGTCCCCCAGCCCACCTCTCCTTGCACGCCGGAGAATCCGATTCGCTAGTGCCGCGATCTACCAGGTGCAGGAACCGTGGGGCCCATCCGTCTGTCAAATCGGGGGAGGGGGCATCGGGGAGACGCGAGCCGCCGCGGGATGGCCCCCGTCGATGTCCCCCGCCGGCCGAGTGGCCGGATGACGAGGAGGCGCGGTTCCAGTCTTGCTCTCTGCCCTTCTTGAGAAACTCTCAACGGAATGCGAAGTGTATGGGTTGTGTGATGTGGGGGCGCGGGAGACTGTAGGATGCCGAGCCGGGCTGCGAGTCGTCCCGTTTCCCGGGGGTTGGGTTGGGTTCCGGTGGTGGTTTTCTCGGTCTTGTGTACTCCCTCTTGCGTATGGCCCATACGAGCATCGAAAGGGAGCCGAGGGGCCGCCCTTGTGACCGCTACGTCAACGCCGCCGGTTCGGCCGCGTACGATCATGTCGGGAGGGGGAGGGGGAGGGGGAGATGGGACGACGTCCGCCCCGGTTGGAGCCCGCGCTGCCAGAGGATTCATGCTTAACCTCCCACGCGATCCTTCGTCTTTTTTTTTCTTTCTGGTCCGACGTCCCGAATGACAGGTCGACGGCGGCCGAGCTTGGTGCAAATTTTGAATTTTTTTTGATTATTTCGGTCCTGAACAAGTTTACTAATCTCTATCTCGACTACCGCAGTTCCCTCCCTGCTTGGATTACGTCCACCCAGCTAGTTTGATCTTGGAACGGCAGACGCTGACGGAAAGGTGCGGCTCTAAAGGATATCACGCCCTCTTGATAGAGGGTAAGCACCGCCTATTCGAAAACGGAAACGCCAGATGCTCGGAAAATGCCAGAATACGCCGGCGCGCTTGTCCCCCCTCCCCCAGTTCCTCAGAAGGCCATCAGCGAGTCCTGGGGCCGGAGGGAGTAGTAGATTGTCAAGTAGGCGCCCTTGTCCTTGCTGAAGGCGAAGGAGACGTACGAGTGCGTCCCCGCGGTCTTTGTCAGGTCAGAACGGGGGCTAGCGGCATGCACAGTCAGTTCCGGATTCACTCCAAAAAGGGGGAGGCGACGAGACTTACAAACTACGGTGCATCGCGTCCTCATACTTCTCGGCAACAGGCCAGCCCCTCGAGCGGAAGGCCTTGGCCAGGTTCGACGAGATGGTGGCGTCGTTGTTGGCGTATTGCCACAGCGGCACGTAGGCCTTGACCTCGGGCCACTGAGCACCGGGCTTGAGCTCGAAGCCGTAGCAGATGCCCTTGTGGAGCGTGCTCACCAGCTTGGGCTGCTTGTCAAATTCGTCGCCGTAGGGCTCCGCCTCGTTGTGCAGCAGGTGCCAGATGCTGCGGAGGACCTCCAGGCCCTCGAGCGTTGTCCGGTCGTTGATCTGGCCGCCGAGCGTCATGACGTCGCGCACGACGTTGAAGGCGTTGGACCGCGTGCGGGCGTAGAGCTTGGCGCGGGCGCCCGCGGCCGGGTCTATGCAGTCCAAGGCAATCATCTCGACGGGAATGGTGAAGGGTGCGTTCTTGAAGTACTCCTCGGTGGCGTTGGCGGACGGGGTGAGGTCGGCGCCGCCCGGGGACAGGGAGCGGATGGCGTTGAATGTGATGCTTTCTGCCGACTCGCCCGTGGCGATGTGCTTGAGGATGGGGAAGAAGTATGCCTTGAAGACGACCTTGGCCCCGTCGAGGTCGAACGCCAGGAACGAAGTCGGTGCGCGGGTGTTCTTGGGAAGCTTGGCGAGCGCGACCCTTGTCTCCGATTCCGTCAGGAACAGGGCGGACATGAACTGCTCGAACCACCGGGTATCGGCCCTGTACGAGACCATACGCAGAGCAGGGAGAATGGCAGGAATGATCCTTTGCGCAAAGGGGTCCGATGCCGAGCCGCCATGGCGGCCCATGGGCTCAAAGGAGAAGCGGATGGACGAAGAGCCCGAGTCGGTGATGTTCCAGGAGGGCTCAAAGGGCGAGCCGTCGGCGGTCAGCAAGGGTTTTGTGGGGGCAGTGGACGGATGGGGGCCCATGGCGGGGACAATGATCTCGGAGAGAAGCTGGAGGTGTGCGGCCCGTTGGGCCGGTGTGTAGGAGCCGGCGGCCCGCATCAGACCGTCGAGGGTCTCGGCGCAACGGGAGTTCCAAAAGTCTTGGTCGGACTTGTGAGTGTATATCGACTCTTGTGCCGGGAGACAGAGGTCCTTCTCCTGCTTGGCCATGGCCCGTGGGGACAGGATTTCGGACTGTCCAAAGGCCATGGGCGACCTCAGAGCCCTCGGAGAGAGCTGCAGAGGAAAAGGGGGCCTAGAGCTGGTCGTGTAAGTCGAAATTGCCATGGCAGGTGCCATTGCTACGGTTGGCTGATGTGTAAAGAACGGGTACTAGAGGAGCGTCTTCGGATTGAGATTGTGCTGAAGTCGCCCGAACCTTGGAAACGATGGAAGAGGTCTTGGGACATTATATCTCTACTACGGCACACCTGCTCAGCGGCGTGTCAGTTCAGCTGAGCTTGCCAAAAAGAGGCTCCCCAGGGCTGATCCTGAAACTGCTTGCCATCGCGCAGGTGGCTAGGTCCTTACAACCTGAGGTTGCTCTGCAGGGACGGCGATAAACGCAAGACTTGATCGAAGCCAGGATAGGATGGGTCGACGCGTGGACCATGTCGAGAGCATGGCAGTCCGGGACCACATGGCCGCCCCTCTACAAGTGAACCCTCCGTACCAAAGGAGGCAAGGGAAGGCACAGTTTCCAGGTAGTATGTCTGGGCGGTTGTCTGCTGTCAGGTAGAAATGAGCCCTATGGCTGCCACCTCCAATGTCAAGTTGCGCATTAATTCGGACTCAACTGCCTCAGCCGGACTGCCATATTGGGAAACCTGGCGAGAAAGACCTACCCAATCCGGGGTGGGGTCCGGAGGTGTCAATCGGGACATCCCACAGCTATTTTGTGAGAGAACGGGCCTCTGCAGCGCCCCGGGGTCAGTTCGCGAACGCTGCCACCGACTCAGGCGCTCTGATGCGTTTCTGAGTCGTCTTTCTGGGAAACATGACTTGGAGTCTTGGCAAATATTGGGCGACGAAAAAGAAGAGGAAACACTTGGACATCGAACACTAAAGACGTCACGGCTGATATGTCAGTCAGCCTGCAAGCTGTGGGCTGCCGGGCTGCACATGGCGACCAACAGCGGCAGAATGCTGCATGTCCTGCGTCTGCAGCGAGGAGCACAGCTGCTGACCCAGCCAGCAGGATCAAAAGCCAAGGCCGCAGCGTCAGTGTGTCGGCGAGGCGCAGATGTGGTAGAAACGCCGCCCTCGACACCGTCCTACGCAGTAGCAGCTTGGTTTGGCCTTGGCGGGTACCGTGGTCTTGATAGGGTCCGGATCTTTTTAATCGGATCATTACCCCGATGGGCACCTGGGCTAAAGAAATCTTACCGGACACCCGTCAGAAAACGACGATGCGTTTTCGAGACGAGGGGTGTATGAGAGAGGCTACGAAACATTGTTTCTGGAAGGGATGGAGATGAGATGAAGGGCCTACTACCGTCGACCGTTAGTCCGCAGTAGGAGACTGTAGGAGAAAGTTAAGGCATAAGCTTTTTCGATGTGGTGGGCGCAAAGCAATGTGTATACTATGTAAAAAAAAATTTAAACAGCAGGGAGAGAGAGTCATGCGGGGTGTAGTGAATGCAGAAAACATTGGATGTAGTTGGCGAGGAGCCGGTGGTCTCGTGTTCGGGTTGCAGGTCAACGGTTTACAGCCAGTGGCTGTCAATCGATTTAGATTTGCTGTTGCAACTAATTGAGTACCGTGAGGTCATCATTTGGCTGATTGTTTGGTGTGAGAGATGGTTTGCTTTGCTCCTCGAGAAGAGAGGGTTGTTCGGGAGAGAAAGGTAGTTCAGTTTGACTCGAAGTAGATGACGGTGAGATCCTATCAGGTTGCCCGCTTCGCTCCGTAGCTGCATGTAGAGCAAGGCAGCCGTTAGATCGGCTTGGGCGCACGTACGCGCCGATCGACGACGGTGAAAGCAAGAGGGTCATAAGCGCACTTGGGCTTGCACTTACACTTCCAAGCACAGTCGCTGCTTGAGGCGGCACGGAAAAAGAACCGCACCTGAGGACCGTAACTGTGTGTGGCCGTCTTGATTTGCAAGGAACTGCTTAGTCGGGTCTGGGCAGAGGATGTGATCGCAGGCGTGTTTGTTCGTCCGTGAAACTAGATCGTAAACGAATGACATGTTGCTCCTCTTAACACTCGGATGCGAGAGGCTGTGACGGCCGGGTCCTACTTCGTATTGCACCGCTTTGCATCTATGGCAATTTTAGGCAAAGAAGAAGTGCGAGGCGAACATGAGTTGCCTCTGCTAGAAAATGGCGTACCGAGGAGGAAACGGCTGTGGCTCTCCTGCGTGCTTGAAGTATCTGTTTGCGCTGTGAGAATTTGTCTGTGGTTCCCGCCATGACATCACATTACATCGTGCCCTTGCATGCTCGGTCATGAAGAGAGAGCTGCATCTTGGAGTATTCCATGTTGCTGCACCGAAGTCCAGGCCAAAAGCCCAAGCTAGCATAGTAGGGGCCAATTGGCAGAGTTATGACTAATCGAGCATAAGCGGTGCACAAGTGTGCACACGCGCCTCGCAAACTGCCAGCTCGCCTTATGCCAGGACTTTGGCTTCGAATATGTCAACACTGAATCAAGGCGCCACACAATTCGTCAGGAAGCAGAAGTGTAGATAATCATAGTGAGGGCCGTAACTAATTGTGGTGCATCTAGGGAGGAAAAAGAAATTGTTTCTCAGATACCGGAGTGTGTGACATAGCTTGGATGCAGAAGCAAAAGAGTATGCAATCGCCGGGAGTCGAACCCGAGTCCCCAGCTGATCTCTTAAGTGGAAGGCTGGGATGATAACCGCTACACTACGATTGCCACTGAGCTGTGAACAAAGCAGATGGTTGTTGTTGAAATTAGTGCACTGTCAGTAACTTAAGTAGGGATGGATCTGATGGAGTCATGCAGGGAGATATGGCTTCGATAAACCGTACCTAATGGGGCAGAAGCGGGGCATCTGTGCAACCGGCTCCGTACCTGAATGACCCATGGTTCTGTTGGCGCTTGGGATTGCCATGCTTATACGAAGTGAACAGAGACTGAGGCTTGGATCTGGTTTTGTGTATTGCTTCTGTTTTTCCAACCTCGCTCGCTCGAGATCTCCTTCATTCTCTATCTCCAGAGACGTTGCTGTTCCTCTTCTGATGAATGTGCAGCTCGCATCATCCATGTCTCGCTCAAGTACGTTGGCGCTGTACCCCGCAGCCAGAGGCCTCAAAACAACAGCCCTTTTTGACGGAGCCAGGACACACATGAAGGCATGCTTGACAGCTGTATCAGCCAGATGCCAGACCCAACGCAAAAGAGAAAATGAGAGAGCCTCTCTTTGCTTGGCTGCAGCTGAGGACAGAACGGCTTGCCATATCAGCAATCTGTCCCTCTTAGTGAAGGCAAACAGCATTGGAGGGTTGATATAGATGGTCAGAGACAACAGTGCCTGATCGATTGTCATCGCCAGCCGGCGAGGACCCTTGAAAGGATCTTTGCCATGAATGGTTACACATTAGCCACATTGCGTTTCCTGACTGGACTAGCAAATAATCTGGATAGCCCTTCGTTGACTCGTGACGAGCTTGTGTCACCTATCTTGGGGTCTGAATAGCCCTAGTCAAGCACTGGTCTGCGTCTTGGTGACTCTGGTTCTCGCATCCATAACACTTTATTTTGCTATCCAATACGTAGCCTGGCGTCTCTCTTTCAGCAGGATTGGAAGCATCCTTAGTGCTGCCCCTACGGTGTAACTCCTTTAGCTGCTGGTACAATGAAGGGACAAGCATGACGCCTGGCATACTTGTCTCTGCTCCTTGATGAGGGCCATCCCCTCACTCTCTTGTCTGCTGCTGTCCGTCTTCCGATTGAATATGCCTCTCCGGCAGCCCCAATCCTGATTGCGAATCATCCTCCCACAGCTCCGTCTCATCCAAGCATACCTCTCAAGTCATGGAAATGGTCTAGTTTCAGTCTTGTCCTACGATAGCACGGTCTTATTACGTACACGGCCACGACCACACGTATACTTCACGGCTATATGCCCTAACTAGAGAGTAGAAGCTCTGCGTCCTCAGGCTGTGCTGGCAGCTTCTTGACGCGCCTTTTCGACTGATGCAAAGCTACTTCCCGCCACGATAAGCCAGATCACAAGCCTAATGTATTTGGGGACGTATCTGATCTGGACCTTAGATTTTCTGAGAGGAGATTATGTAATGCCTTGGGCCTGATACTGCTTGATCGAAGAGCACCAACTGACGCTGTTGGTCAGCGTTTGGTCTTGCCTGAAATGCATTCACTTTGAACTTCGAGTCTACACACAACCCCCGCAATCGGTGGTCGTGAAATGAGGAGAGATCTCAGAGAGATCGTTGGGCTGGGAAGAGCGGACTTGTGCCCATATATGGTTCGCTAACGGAGCCCGCGTCACGGAGCCTATACCAGAGGGACAAAACCTTATAGACTTCTTGCGATCGCCGGCCGGAACATGCGAACTCTGTTCTTGTCCTTGGCTCTTCCACTAATAGAAAGAGTGAGGAAACACAAGCCAGACGCCATCAAACTGGTCAATCAGACGGTGAAGGAGAATCCGCGACTCGAACTTATCATATCCCCTCAGCAAAGACGAGTTGGAACCGAGGCCTCATGGCACTTGGTTGTGTCAAGGTCTTCTGCGAGGGTATCCATAGAGCTGACGAAATCCATGGATGCTATTCCAACACGAAAGCCAAGGCTGGAATGGAAGGCTAAGGGGTTAGAGAGGCGGGGAAACGATCAAAAGGCCGGGCTACTAGCCAGAGAGAGCCCCCCACCTCGGCCAAGTCATGACCTTGCCGACAGAACGACTCTCCATTCCCCAGACATTTATGCGGTATTCATTCCCTGTCCCTTCTCTCTCTTTCTCTCACTCGCATCCAACTTCTTCTTCTACTACCTCTGATGCGTCCTCTTCTGTCAGTAGACGAGGTCGCCAAAGCAATGGGCCGGGGCCTAATTTCGGCACGCTTCTACGCCGTCATGGAGAGTCCCCGCTGTCATAAGCACCTGTAACGACGTGGACAGAAACTAAATCTTCCCCCGTCAATAAATTGGAGACTACCAGCTAATACATGTCTCCTCTCTTCATATTATTCAGTCCGAGCCCGGGTCCCGCACGGTAACCGGCTAAGTCCAGCCAATATCTCCGTGTTCAGCTTTGTCGCCAGACAGACCACCAAGGTACTTTTCTGGCGGAAAAGCATAACCGTTAGCCTATCGACAGGTAATGGAAGGATTTCAGAGCGAACGATGCGGTGTGCCGTGAGATGTGACCACATACAAGGTGATGGTTATGACCTCGTACCGGCGTGGGTATCGATCCACCGCTTCACATTTCCCTCGGGATTTCCGCTTCAAAGTCCTCCTGACACCCACTATTGATCCATCAAGTACCAGTTGTGCTAGTTAATCTAGATTTGGGGACGCAGGCCATACGTTTCCAGTCGACACAACATAGCTCCATCCCAGCGGAAAGCTGCCCTACGATCATCAAAGATGCCGGCAACCTCATACAGCAAGTTTCCTCCGCCTATTAACTGTTATATCGATCATCATGCCTGATTCCTGGAATAATGAGCACTGCACAATTATACTCTACATCAAACCATAGTGACTGCATTTCTTCAACCAGGCAACTTATCTACGGTAGCTAGCCACAACACATGGAGCTTGACAGCTCGACAATTCCTCTTTCGATCCGCCTCATCTGTTTATCTGGAAACTACACATTCGCGGGGGACATTCACACGCGTGAAACGACAGGTCCGAACGCTAGCCTTAGCCCACATCAAGGAAACATGATGTGCTGTACGGGGTGCACTCTCTTTGCCCCGGGCCCAGACATGCCGAACTTTTCATTGCGAAGCTCCGAACATGCCATCGTCTTCAAGGGACAGGGTTACAATCCCAGGAGACTTCCCAAAGTCTTCTACCAGTGACGCCGATTTTTTTACAAGGACTATCATCTGTGGCCATGGCTCATATTGTTGGGTCTTTCAGGCCTGTAAAAGGCACATAACACTCGTCCCAGAAGTCCACGGCCTCATCAGCACTCAAAGTAGCAAGGGTAAGATGATGCTTTAGATGATGTATAACCTTCAAAACATCATAGAAGCCAACTATGTCGCTCAGTCGAGGACATGGCCATAAAATAGGTCATATGAGCTTTGGTATAAGGCTGTATCGTCAAAAAAGAGCATTCCTTGGGATGGCTGCCTTCTTGATGGGCGCCCCTCAGACTTGGCAAGTGTTGCTGAGCTACTTCTAGTGCCTGGCAAGCGCAGAAATACGATGCATACTCTTACGAAGACCAAGAATTACTCCGTAGAGCAACTCGGCATTGGGGACCCTAGAGAAATTGCCCAGAAACCCAAGGAGACGTCTGAATCACACCCGACCATGCCAATATTGGACTCAGCGTCAAAGCGAATTCTGCCTAGAGGCATCAGAGGGAGGCGGTTGACGGCCATATCATATCCCAGATTGTGCGAGAAACCACAGAGAGGAGCACGAGAGAATGTAAAAGTTCGATACCCTCTCCCGAGAAAGCGTCTCTTGCTAACGAATATGTGGCAGGTCCTCGGACGGCGGCAGACCTACCTGTGCGGGGATCCAAATTTGCAGACTGGGAGTCCTCCGCCAACGCACTGCAACCAACTCGATGCCGAGCAAGAGAACACAGACAACATTGCCGCGGAGCCGGTTCTCACTATTGCAGAGCCCCGCCCCCAGCCTCTGACCCATGGGGCAGGAACACCAGGCCACGTTCGAGCTCCAACGTCGAAATGAACGGAGCAGCGGAGATACATTGTGCCAAGGCATATCTGCTTCACCCCGGAATATACGACATGGAGATTATCCAAATACATGGTAATCCCGCATCGATGACAAACGCGGTGTTGTCCCCGTCGCGACCAACGCGGAGGCAAACCATCACCGCTCCTCAACAACAAAGGCACTTCGGGGCAGGGGGCAGAAACCGGGGGATCTCAACACCGCAATACCTCCGGCCAACAATCTCAGCCTCAAGCCCGTCATTCCCCGCGAGCCGCATTCCTTCCCCCCCATCTACCACGAATCGTGCGCCAGCGGCGTGCATCGAAGTTGGACATACCATCCGGCTTGGCCACCTTGAACCAGATCACCAAAACCTTGGCTGACTAACCAACACCAATGAACACACTCCACACGGTCAACACCCCAGACGGACTGGACTCCATACGAATCCTTTGCCAACGCTTGGTCTTCCGCTCGGCGAGAATCCGACGGAGGGCGTTATACGGTACCGTGATGTCACCTCCGCAATCACGGACTTCACCCCGGAGTCTCAGTAACAATGCGCCCTTTGTTTCTCCACGATGGCCCATGTTGGACTGCGTGAGCCCTTCTCCAACATACCAAGCACGCCTGGGCACGGCGCCAATGCTGACAAGCAAATGAAACCCCTCAGTGCCCCAGGAGGGCCGCCTCCATCAACTTCAGCATCTCCGTTTGCCAACCATGCGGAGTAAGTGTGGGATGGAATCTGGGGTAGTGTGGGGGATGGTCATGTTCCGAGGGGTATAAGAACACGATACTCTGTACTCTCGCAAGAAGAGACGGTGTACCCATCGTTCGAGCTCCCTTTCTTCCCCGACTTACAACTCCCACATGGCGAACGACAAGGTGCCTGATGCGCCCTCGGGCCAGGAGCCCACGATCCACGGCAGCACCATGGGAGCCGCAGCCCCTCACATCGCCTCGGAGAAGGCCAACAACTTGGACGACGAGCCCGCGTTTCTTGAGGCTTCCCAAACCAACAACTCGGAAGCTCTCAAGGAGGCCCAGAGGGTCAACGCTATCGAGGCCCTCGGCATCCCGGACTGGCAGGCCAAAGAGAAGAAGATTGTTCGAACCCTGGACATGACGCTGCTCCCTCAGCTGTGGATCCTGTACATGTTCAACTATCTGAACCGTACGAACATCGCGTAAGGCTGGCGTGCTCAAGCGAACAAAGTGTCTACCACTGACTGCTGGGACAGGCAAGCTCGTCTCGACGAGGACTTTGAAGATACTCTCCAGCTTGGAAACACGGACTACAGCACCGCAGTTGCCCTGCTTACCGTTGGGTCAGTCGGGTTCCTCGCTCCAAGGGGACCAAGCTGACTCTTTGTAGCTACATGCTGGCGCAGCTGCCCTCCAACATGCTCATCACCCGAGTCCGCCCAGGTCTCTACCTCCCGACCTGCGCGATTCTGTGGTCTGGCGTCTCCGCCGCGACAGCCGCAGTCACTAGCCCGGGCCAGCTCTTCGCCGTCCAGTTCGTCTTGGGTATCATCGAAGCTCCTCTGTTCCCCGGTGTAAGTCATCGCCGCGTGTCCTTCCTCCACCTGAACTCGGGCTGAAACCACCGGAAAAAGGCCGTCTACCTCATGTCGTGCTGGTACACCCGCAGAGAACTCGCCCTCCGCACCGCGCTTCTCTACTCCGGCCTAGTCCTCGCGCAGGCCTTCTCCGGCCTCATCGCCGCCGGCGTCTTCTCCGGCATGTCGGGGGCCGCTGGCGTCGCCGGCTGGCAGTGGCTCTTCATACTCGAGGCCGCGCTTAGCGCCTTCTTCGCCCTGACTGCCTACTTCATCCTGCCCAACTACCCGCACTCCAAGACCGGAGGCGCCATGTGGTCCATGACCGAAGACATGCGGCGGATCGCCGTGGCCCGCATCGAGGCCGACCGCGTGGAGCAGCCCACCGACTCGAGCGTGTGGCAAGGTCTGCGTCTTGCGTTGACGGATATGAAGACGTACATCTTTGTGAGTTTCCGAGCCCAGGCGCCGCCGCCGCTGCCCGGACAACCCTGCTGACGTATCCCAACGCCAGATCTTCATGAACATCTTCATGACCTCTTCCTACGGCTTCAACAACTTCTTCCCCACCATGGTTCGCGGCTTCGGCATGGGCAGCAGCACGATGGCCCTGGTCCTCACCGCACCGCCCTACATCCTGGGCACCGCGGTGTCGTTCGGCGTGGCGTGGTCCTCGGACAGAAAGAAGGAGAGAGGCTTCCACATCATGGCCAACAACTGCATCTCCATCGTCGGCTTCATCATCTCCGTCGCCACCCTCAACACCGCAGCGCGCTACACGGCGGCGTTCTTGTACACGTCGGGCTCTTTCTCCGCCAACGCCCTGGTATGGCCCTTTCCACACGCATCCCCCCCCCCTTTCCAACCTGCTCCGTGCTGACACGTTCAACCTCAGGTCTACACCTGGGCCGTCTCCTCGCTCAGCCAGACGCCCGAGAAGCGCGCAGCCGGCGGCGCCATCGTCAACATCATGGGCCACCTGGGCAACGTCATGTCGCCCTACTTCTTCCCCGACAGCGACTCGCCGCGCTACACCATGGCCATGATCCTCCAGATCGTCTTTGCGGGCTTGACGTTCTGCACGGCCTTCACGTCCAAGACGTACTTGCGGAGGCAGAACAAGAAGCTGAGGGCCACGGCGGACGAGACTGGTGCCATGTACAACCCTTTTACGACGTAACGACCTTACGTTTTCTTCTATCCTTGCTTGCTTCTGGAAGCGTGGCGCAAGCAGCAAGCACTACAAGTCTCTGCAATTGCCCTTGCACCGACAGATGCCACCGTCCACGAGCGGATAGTGCCTTGAAGCGTAGTCCACAAAAGAATTCTACTACCAGAGCTGCCTGACTACGTGGCGAATCTTTACATCGCGAGAGTGAAGCGTCCTTGAGGGGTCTCAGAACCTGCATGCCTGTTGTTTCGAGGATGACCAGCATCGGTTGCTTCCATTGTCAACCATGTGAAATCCCGCAGCGAGTTTGACAGGATCGTGACTGGGCGATTCGTCAAAATCTGGCTCCTAGGGAGAGCTGGTCATGAGATACCCAACGGAACCAGCACGACAACCTATCAGACCATTGCCAAGATGGGCGAGAGATACTCTTTAAACGCTCCGCCACGAACGCCAGACCAACCATGCCTTGCCGGTGCCCACCTAAGCGATCTTGCCCAGACGACTACTTGAGATAGAGCCGCACATGAGCAAGCACCAGCCAATCTCTGATGTCGTACCGTATACAGAACGAGGAAAGAAAAAGAGCAAGAAAGGAATGGTGGGGTCAAGCTGAGCAGGTCGTCAGATTATGGTGCAGTAGAGAGTGGGTTTCCGCTCAGCCCCAAATAGGGAGGCCGTTACGGGACCGGGCAGTGTCCCGGGCAAACCCTTCTCAGTCTTTCAGCCCTTCATTGAGTTAGAGCTTACATCAATGCATACAAACTTTCAACGTGATGCAAAGCAACATGTGTCCAGGGCTGCCCACAGCCCGCGGGTCGGAAGCCGAGTCCGTTTTCAACACCCATGTTCAGGTCGTGCCGGCAGCGACCTGTCTTTTACACCTACTGCTCCTCGTATCATGACAAGCGGGACTTCACGAAGAAGCGGAACTCGGTGCGGCCGTGTAGGCAGCCCATGCGAGCGCGGGAAAAGAGTCCGCAGCGGGCGGGAGTGGCTGTGACCTACCTCGCTCTCTCTCCTCTCTCTTCTCTCTGAACTGCACCAACAAACGAGATACAAGGCGCAGTGGTACCCTTGAGCCCTACGATAAGCCCTACGGTAGGGCTGTCGTTAGTCACGCGCGAAGGATTGCGGGCGAATGGGGGCTTCATCTCTTCCTAACCTAGCAATGCTGGGCCTATATGTCATTCTCGTTATATAAGGCGGAGGTTGAAAGGAACTCCGTTGGCTGAGGTTTAGGGCTGACGCTCGTGGCTTACGGCGCCTAGCAATGCCTCCCCGGCACGTGTTTCCCATATCAGTCAATCTCTCTACCTGCGGGGTCAGATCACCGCCCAGTATCCGTACATGCTCAATCAGCAGATGTACCTCCTCAATAGGGTCGCCGCCCTCACAGTTACGAGACGCAATGGCAGATTGCCCAATTACTTTGTGCTGGTGGAAACCGCTGTAAGCGAACGGCGACAGAGGGCGTTGGAAATGCAACATTGCGCCCTTCTGGCTCAAGGTTCTGCAAATATACTTTGGTAGACCTAAACTATAGAGAATACCCTGTGATAGCTAACCACGTGTCTTGACAAGCGATCGCTATTTCCGTCTGAGTGGATAAGCTAGGCGGCTCGTTGTCGTATTCCCGAACTGGGGAAGAGCCAACAAGTTCGGGAACAAGTATCATACCACCAGGTCAAAGCTCTCACCCAGGTTTCGACCTGCCAATCGTTCAGGCATTGGGGAAAGCATCTTTGGGCGTGCGTAGGCTAGCCTTCCTACAGTGCCGTTCATCCAAGCGACAGTGTAGCTCATGTTCTTGATCGAGTGTCCGTTTCGGGATCCATACAACGTCGACGATGCTACCGCACCTGGCTCAGAGTAGTACCAAGATGCGAAGCAACGGGGTTGGCCTGCGAGTTTTGTTGATCGTGTTGTTACAACATGAAGTCCTAACAGGTTCATCCCTCGAGGGGCATTCTTTCTGCCGTTTCTTGTCCCGTGCTCTCTCGCGTGTGACCCGTCGAGACCCGGCCATCGATTGAATGGAACCGTGACATCGTGGGAATCGCCAAATGTACAGATGACCATACGATAAATAGAGTTTCTTTGTCACCGTTTCGACGAAGTTGACCCAATACTGACGAGCTCTGTGTCAGATTTGCTCTATGCCAACCAGGTTTGCTGAACAGCTGGCTTCGGTGCTTCCGTGGCCTTCATCATGGAGGTCATTGTCCAGAAAAAGACATTGCAGAAAGATGCTTCATAGCATCCAAGTGCTTTCAGTCTCGATCACAACATTGTTATCGACAAGAACGGGGGTCACTGCCCTCGCCCGGGCGCTTCTAGCCTGGACCTGGTCTCGGGCGCGCGCACTCGAAATTTTTAGCGATCGAAGGGCTTGCCGTAGCTGGAACTGGATAATGACAGCAACGGCAGCTGATTAGTGATGGGTGAAAACAAGTGTTGCAGCGATGAAGCAATCGTTCGAGACCACGGGAACCAAATGGAGACACGTCGAGCTATTAAGCTTTGCCAGGACCAGTCTTGAACCATGCGTGCCAGGGTCTCAGGACAAGATGGGCGATGAACAGAACTTCTTGCTGTGGGGAACCGGGAATTGGGGCGATTTGTAGGGATTAAGGAAGTCTCGATCCTCATGGCCAGATGCATGCCCCAGTAATACCTAGGCACTCTGCCCGACTTGTGGACATCAAAAACTTGAGACATGATCGGTGAGAGACTGCTGGGCCTGCCCACGTTCTTGGCTTCTAGCAGTTCTGCCCATTCGCGTGGAAACGGATGCGTGGTTTGAGAAATCCGCGGTTGTGGCTGCAAAACAAGGTAGTCAAGGCTAGAACAGCAGCGTACCTGCTCACGCATATTCAGCACACCAATTTCACAGACGCCACGTAGAAGAAGAAAAAGAAGAGGAAGAAAACAGAAAATTTGATAATAATAAAAAAGGACGGAAAGAAAGAAGAAGACGTGATTGGTGCGCACCAATTTTTGCTGGCCTGACGGTGCGCGCTTGACCAAGTGGCATCAACGGACTGGCTGCTGATGGGAGGGATCCTGTGGCTACCGGTATGTCGGACGGAGTACGGGAAACGGCTGTTATGGAGTTCCGTAGATCCCTCCCCAGGATGAGCGCCGAGACCGTGATTCGGCAGATGATGCATTTCGTGAACAGCATGGGCCCGCGGATAGAGATCTGTTTCCAAAGAAGCGCCTCTTTTGTGATTCGGTTGATCTGGCCGCGAAGCCGCAGTCTATCTTCCAGAAGGCAAAACTGGCACGGTGACCCCGAGTGAGAACATGCGACGAGAGGGCCGACAGGTTGAGTTCGCGAGCATGAGGGACGGCAGAGACGGCAGCTGGCGAAAGCAAGACGAGAAGATGTGGACGCGGCCGCCGCGGACAGGCTGACTTGTGTAACGAAGGGAGAGCGAGAGACCAACGGCTAAGACGGCTGGGTAAGGGTATCTCTGTGAGGTTACTTTTCCATGGGCAGGGGCAGTGAGCAAGCTGTTGATGCTCCCAGGGATATTGGAAACTTGGCTGCGCAGACTCATTGCCAACCAGTTGGGGGTCGGCTACCCAAAGTTGTAGCCCTGAGGCGGCACCGGGTGAGCTGTTCGGGAATGGACCAGTACGGCGGACGGAGAGCCAGCTACGGTAGACAACGGGTCGATTTTCGAACCCGTGAAGTAGCCATGACGGCAATTTATAAGCTGAGCCAGAACCACCTTGATTGTGAGGAAGGGTAGAGCAGGTTACCTCACCTTGAAAAGCTCGATTTGTACGGACCGTACGGAGAGTGTTGGTAGAAGTGGACAGCAGTACTGGGCGGTTGCATACGTTACCAACAATGCGGGGTGCTTAGGGGAGTTTATCGATTGGGGGGAGGAGCAGGGGCTGTAACAGGAGAGGAGCCGGTGGGCGGCTGAGGTGAGGTAGGTTCCGTTGGGTTGCATCCCTGTGCAGGTGCAGCGCAGCCATAAGGCAGATGGATTTGCCTTTCTGTATGCCCGGGCAGTGGCGGAGGAGCAGTGGTGGCCGGCGGCGCGAGGGGGATATCCTTGCCGGGGCATGTGCAGAAACAGGAAACGCAGGCCGGAAACTGATGCCGTTCGAATGATGGGTTTGTCCGGAAGATGATTGCGATGCCATGCGATGGCTGATGCGCCGACACGGATTGGAGAAGAGGCACTGTGAGTACCAGGTAGATGAAGCGGCTGTTGGACGAGACGAGCAATGTCATCAAGATGTTGCAAGGGGGACGAGCAGGGCCGCAAGACGTCTCTAGAGCAAAGATTAATTGATTGCACGTGTAAGAGACGGACGCAACCACGACAGATACGCCTCGAAGAGAGCAACAACGCAGCAGCGGCAGCGGCAGGACACAGAGGCAGGCGGCTCATCCACTTGGGCAAGAGAAGAGAGGGAATGTCGCCGCCCGTCATCCAAACCCAACCCAACACAACCCAACCCAACCCAACTCGCGGTAGGGGCGTGGAAGTCGGTCGCCCTGTCTTCGCCTTGCCTTCCTTCCTGGACGCTGTGCTGTGCATCCATCATGTTTTGTCACTTGCCAGCTGGAGCAGCGCCCGGCCGCTTCCTCCCATCGGCACCGGCATGGGCCGCAGAAAGTATAACGGACGTTCAGGACAACGCAGCTTGCCCTGTGTCTTGTGTTGCGGCGGGCTGCTGTTGCTCCTCGGCAAGGCAAGTGCAGGAGGGGAGGGGGTTTACATCGTACTGCCGAGCATATACTTTCAGGCACAGATACTCGACGCCCTTGCAAGCTTCAGGCATCCCGTCATTGGCGGTGAAGCGTGTCCGCGATGCTGGACCGATCCCACGCGGATCAAAGCAACTATCCGGTCCAAGTACAGGTATTCCCGCCCTCGGCCAGTCAGTCATTCGTCTTGGACGTCGAGCCAAAGCGAGACCCCCCCCCAATCCGTTGTCCATCCCATCACTCACTCGAGGGAATTTCACTTCGACCCCTCCCTCCCTTGGCGTACCTTGGGACCTCATGCGATAATCATCCGGCCAGTCCTGCCAATAGGTTCCAACTCTGTTCAGGGATCCGACATCTGTCAAACATTGTGTGGCGCCGACAAACTTGGAGTCGACCTTCGTTCTGCTTCATCGACAGCAACCTTATCCCAGCCGCTACTTGCTTCTTCATCCCAGCCAGGGATAATCTTGGCCCCTTCGTTTCTTCGGAAGCATCTTGTCCAACGTGGTCAGTGTCATCTCCTCCCTCTTGCTTCACTTCATCTCTCCAACTCAGACGAGTCACGGACGATGTCGTCGAGGACCAGACCCCTGCTCTGTCCTTTGCATCCGTCCCAGGGACAGCCCGGCCCATGTGCCGCCGTCTTCTCTCCAACCCTCTAGCCCAATGGCTATGCCGTTTCGATACCCGCGCCCACCGCATCTCCTTTCGTTTTGACTTTTTTGTTTTCATTTCTTCTTAGACGAGACAGAGCCCTCGTCCGGCATGGCAGCTGGGGTTGCCTTTTGTTACACCTCGTGCGTAGGTAGATACCATGAACTAACTGCAAAGGTAAAAAAACAAAAATAAGAGAAAAAACATTGACCTGCATTTACTTCACACCCACCGGACTTGGAGCATCGCAAAACACCGGCCCCGCAAGGTCTATCCAATCTTATCGACATTGATGTTTTGGTTCACCTGGTCAAGGAGCCCTTGGAGTCCGTTGACCCCCTTTTTTTCATTCGTCTGGACGATTCTGCTCGTCCCATCTCTCTGTCCCACTGTCACTGCCTCTCACAAGGCACCTCGCTGGCGTTGGTTACTCTATAAAAGAGTCTTCCAAAGACAAATGCAAGCCTGCCGCACCTCGTCATACAGCAGCCCGGCCCCTCCATACACTCTAGGTCATCGACACTGAAAAGCCCCATACCGTTTCTCGTCCACGGTGCACTGGCGGCACTGAGACAAGCTCTCGAAACTTGCACCACCGGTTTGTCGTACTAGACGGACCCTGTCCTGTCCCGCCCTGCCCCGTCCAGCCCTGTACTGGTTGTCTAGACCTCTCCGCCTTGTCTGGCCCTGCGACTCGCACTGCAGCTTGCGGCGTTCCTCGACCCGCCGTACCGTTCGCACCCTCGAATCCTCCCTACGGCACGCAGTACGTAGCACGCAGGCCCGCCCGGTCAACTCGGCTTCCTCGCGTCTTCTCCATCAAATCTAGCGTCGCCTTCCCGACCCTTCCCAAGTCTCCACATCTCTAGGCCTGCTCTGGCCTATGCTGGCCTGTGCATCTTACACCTTACTCGGCGTTCTGCTTGCTCTCCGCCGCATCGGTCTACACTTCTGGGCCGTCATCCACTTGTTTTTTCTTCCCACACCTAAAAAGGTACCTGAGAGTCTTGACCTGTCGGACGGGACCCTTCAACTAGGAGGGCGCACATACACTACAGTAGGCCCTTGACCCTCCGTCTTCTTCCAACAAAGTCTTTGCAGCACCCTCCTTGCACCCCGAGTCACCCATCCATCAACGCACCGTTTGGGCAGTGCTATACCCACCTACCTATCGCCCTGTCACCCCAAGGCGCTAGACCGAGTGTGGACTGGACGCTACTGGCGCATTTCTACCGGCACGGCACCTCGACCTTCGACCCTCACCAATCTGCGCACCCCCTCCTCCTCCGCTCGCTCTCTCCCCCCCCCCCCTTCTGCACCTGGACTGGACCTAGACCCTCATCAGGACACGCCTATCCGCTTCCCGTTTCCATTCTACTCTTTTCTCCCTTACTCTTCCCATTCCAAAGTGCTGGCCAACCTTTCCAGAGCAGATCGCGACCATGGACTTCTCTCACCAGTACTTCGCGCAAACGCAGCCCTACCAGTTCATGGGCATCCCGCCTCTCACGCCATCCCATTCCAATTCCGCAGGTTCAGATGACTTCAACACGACATCTCCACCGGTAAGTCGTCGAGTTCCCTTCCTAACCCCGAGCCCCCAAATCCCCACCGGCCGCTGGTGGATTGGCGCTTAGCGTACTGCGACCTGCACTTACACAATCATGACATGAGCAGGATGTCTACGCCGAATATCCCAACGACCAGCACTTCAGCACCTTTGATAACTATCCTCCCTCCCAGTTCAACGCACAGCACACTTCCTTCCCCGGTCCTCCCGGCCCTCCCACTCCCCCGAACCATGGTCTGCCCGTGCAGCAGTCTGTCCAGCCTCAGCCTCAGCCGACACAGCACAATGGAATGAGTGCTCCTGCGGTCCAGCCGATCAAGGCCCAACCCGATGCCATCGCCCACAAGCAGGAGCCCTTCGACGACCATTCTCGTCGGGGCCAGTCGAACTCGGACGATGAAGACTTGACGCCTGCGCAGTCGAGGAGGAAGGCCCAAAACCGCGCCGCGTACGTTGCACCTCTGCGCCGCTGCCTCGGCATGCGCCGACGAGACCCCACAGATCGGTTGACCCGAGGATCTCGTCCAACCCATGCATCTTGGATGGCGGAAACTGTTACTGACATGAGTGTGGCACAGGCAACGCGCATTCCGGGAACGAAAGGAGAGACACGTCAAAGACCTGGAAGCGAAGCTTGCGAATCTCGAAGCGGAAGCACAGCAAAAATCGACGGAAAACGAACGGCTCAAGCGTGAAATGCAAAAGATCAGCACCGAGAACGAAATCCTTCGTGCCACCTCGTCCATCAACGGCCACCACAGCTCGTCCTCCCCCGAGCCCCGGACGACAGGTCCCATGCACTACAACCCCAAGGACTTCTACTCGGACCTGCTCGCCCCCCACAACAACAAGACGCCCAGCCACCGAGTCGCGATTTCGTCGGATGGAGAACGCCTCCTCGCGGCTGGCGCCACGTGGGACTTCATCATCAGTCACCCGCTGTTCAAGAGAGGGTTGGTGGATGTGGGTGACGTGAGCGAGCGGCTGAAGAACCAAGCACGGTGCGACGGGCAGGGCCCGGTGTTTTCGGAGCGCTCCATCCTCGAAGCCATCCAAGGCAGTGTCGCCAGCGGAAGCGACGAGCTGCTCTAGTCGGCGGCTCTCGACGGTGGGACTCGACGTGGGTGCTTCGTAAGCGACGTGCAGCACTAACGGACATGACGAGACCTGCAAACGACCAGGTTCGGCGTTTTGGGTAAACGGAGTCAAACGGAGGGGAAACGCCTGCAGCAACGCCAGACGTCACCAGGCTGATATTTTCTTCTTCTTTTCTTTATGCATCGTTGCCACTTATGTATTATGCTATTTGACGGGCAATACCGGGGGCTCGAAGGTTACCTGCGATGTGACAAAAATATTTACTAGACGACATGGCGTCTCTATATGGGGAAACACAACACACGGCCTTGACCAGCAGCGACATGAGCCAAGCAACAAAAGAAGTTGTTCGCCGGCAGGCTGGGGCAACGGAGCATGATTATCATCGGGGCATGGAAGAAAGGGAACACTCGTTCTGGGCAGGGGAGGGAAGAGGCCACCTCCGGTACGCTCGGAGTGCTTGTGGAGGACAGATTGCATTGGATGCTTTTGGGGTCACTCTGGTCTGCTTTTTCCTCCATACCTTTTGCTTTTTGGTCCACGTTTTTAGGGAAAGGTTCTGTCTAGTAAAGAGGAGGGGAAGCCGGGGGTTTGTTAGTTGACAAGGGGCCCGGCCCATGCATGCCTGGATCCCTTCCTTTGGATACGAGTCTCTGTCATCGAAGTTGTTGGAATACAATGTTTCGGTGCCTAATCTCATGAACCGGTGCCCGTCTGGTCTTTTTCGCGCGCGCGGTGACTACGCTTCAGCAAGAGGGGTCCTTCTGGTCCTTTGGGGCCAATTTTTATTTTATTTTTTATTTTTACCGTTCCACGGTTCCAGCCAACTTACCCAACGGGGCGGTGGGAGGAAACGTGGAAAAAAAAGGCAAACCCCGCTGGAGCCGAACCGTTCGACGGCCGTCGTTGGGCTTGCATCGGACTTGGAAGCGGGTGGAAGTCAGTCCATCAACGTAGGGGAGCGGGGTTCCGCCGCTTGCCGGGTGGTGGTGGTGGTCCAATTGCCGCCCCCCTTGGCGACCCCCAACCAACCCGCGCGCGAAATTGCAACGAAAAAGAAGAAGAAGAAGAAGAAGCGGACGTGGTTCGCCGCGTGTTGCAATGCCTAGGGTTATAGGCATGTTTGGGCGCCCGGGGCGGCCAGCGTTCGGGGCAGCCAGCGTTCTCATCCCATTCTTTACTGTATTTTTTACTCTATTTTATTCTTCGGTCCCCTTCGGTCCCCTTCGGCCCCCGATGTCACTCGCACCCTCCCCCTCCCCCCTTGGGATCCAATGACTTGCACAGTGGAAGAGGAAAATCGCCGCCGCTGCCTCCGCCGCCCACCCACCACACACACTGCGCGCGCACACACACGCACACACACCCCTCTCAAGCTGTCGAGCATGGGAGGCGTCGGATTGCGACCTCCTCGCTTCTCCGGATCTTCACTTTCGGGGGGCCCCGTTCGAGCTGTTACCGGGTTGGTGGGAACAAGCTCCATCGACCGGGACAAAGTTCAGGGCGACCATGGCACGTTGAGGCGGTGGTTGGGCGCTTCGGCGGTTTAAATGGTGGGGGAGCCGTGGGAGACACTTTGGGAATGTAATAAAAAGGAGGATTTGGTGGTATCTCATCTATCTTGCGCAAGGACAGAAACAGCCAACGCGTGACGAGAACCCGAAAGAGAAATAAAGATGAAAATAAAAAAACAGATGGACCATCCGGTTGACCGTCATGTGTTCGTCACGCCACCGACCGCCGCCGCCGCCGCCTTTTGGCGTCGGGTGCATACGCCCGAACTCCTGACAGATGCTTCGCCGAGAAGAGGAGGGGGTGGGGAAATAACTCTAAAAAAAATAAAAAATTACTGAAATGACGCAACGGGGAGCAGCAGCAAAGCAACTCGAAGTGGAAAGAAACAGACACCAGACGTAGACTTCCGTAGCGTCGTTACTCCCCCCCCCCCCTCAGCCTTGCCGCCAGCCTCCACCACCGTTGTCCCGAAACCATCGTTTGTCCCGTCATGTACTTGGTCATACTCATTCTCTTCCATGGCCCATGGCTTCGTTCGTGTCGTGACGGGGAGTCGTCGGTGATGGGTCGTGCAATGTGCTGAATCGAGACTCTGCTTGACACAGTTCGACCTTCACCGAGGACATCCCCTCTCTTCTTTCCAACAGCTGGTGACAAGCAGAGGACGAATTCAGCTCTCCATGAAAATGGAAGCCCTCCACCTGCCCCGTTCTGCAGTTGTTGTATATTAGTCAACCAGCACCCCGGTTGACAACACAGCTTAGCCCCGCATCAGAGCTGTCTCCCCCTTTACTGTGACTTCTTGCCGTTGATCTGGGCGCTGCCCTCGCCATCCCGACCCTCGACCCACGGGTGCTTGATCGTCAGGCACCAGATGTCAAGGTAATCGCAGATAGTGACGATGACATCCACGACAAAGCTGCCGTAGACGCCAATGGCCATGCCGAGCATGAGGAACATAAAGGCAACCTGGTAGACGTCGTCGCCCAACGCGCTAGGCCAGCCGAAGCCAAAGTACTCCTGCAGCTTCGGACCCAACGCATCACCAACCCCAAACGCAAGCGGCAAGCCCAGGACGTTCCAGTACGGGAAGTCGAGCTTCACCAGGTGCGCCGTGATCATCTGCCCGACAGAGTAGGCGTTCACGACGCCGGCAAACATGATGAACGGCACGAGATGCGAGTGCAGGATGGTCGGGTGCAGCAGCAGGTACGACCCGATGAGCACCCACATGCCGAAGAAGGGCAGCAGGCCGAGCAGCGCGCCGCGGGAGCGGTCGCCGCGCGCGCGACGGGCCTTGATGACGTTGCGCGCCGACTCGACCGTGTTCAAGACGAGCACCAACGCGCCCTGGACCATGTACCACTGCGTAAAGGAGAGCTCGTACAGGGACTCGGGGATGCCCAGCTTCTCGGAGACGCCAAAGGTGCGGAGGAGCGACTGCTGCCAGAAGGAGGCGCCGCCCATGTAGCCCGTCAACGCATAGACACCGACGAGGATGAGGACGCCCTCAACGGGGCCGTTGACGATGCCCAAGGTGAGCGTCTTGGTGTGGTACTCATCCCAGGTCTGAACGTAGAAGGTAAGGAGGGCTGGCGGGAGGGTCCGTTAGCTTTATTTGGAGGTCTAGGGGAGCTCGAGGTCTGGCGAGACAGACTCTGAGAGAAGACGGGAAGGACATACAAGAAAAGAGAACGCCGACGGTCATCCAGCCCTGTCCCATGTTCTGCGACGCGGCAAAGATGAGGACTTCAAGCGAGGTGTTGAGCGCGTCGACGCCGTGGTCGAAGAGCTCGCCAAGCGGTCCGGACTGGTGGGTTCGTCGACTGTTGTCGCAAAAGGTCCATGTTAGCTTCACGTCTCTCTCCCAAGGACTCTGGCTCGAATGCCAAGCTCGGGGAAGGGAAAACTCACGCCTGCGACCCATCAACGGCGTCAAAAGTCTGGTACAGGAACAGGCCAATCGCCCACGAGTAGTAGACCCAGCTGGGGCAGTCCTGGTCGAGCGTCGGGTTGTACCACAGAAGCGTCAGGACGTTCGCGACAACGAACATGAAGCCGGTCAGGGTGATGAGGTTCGGCGCCATGCTCATGGGGAAGATGTTGATGACGACGTTGGTGTAGAAGGGCTTGAGGATGTACTTTGACGTCAGCGAATGGTCGACGCCGGAGTACTTGTACTCCTTGAGCGCCGGGAGGCGGTCCTGGCGCACGTAAACCATCTTGGGCGAGAGCGTGCGATGTTGTTCGTTGCACGCGTCGTGTGGTGGTTTTTTTTTGGTGTTGAAACTGAGCAGGTTGAGTTTGCTCAGAGGACGGTGAGTTGTGTCCTGCCGGGAACTTTTTTTTCTCGGTTGTCTGGCGGATCGGAAGCTCTGACTGGGCGGGGCCCCGGAGGAGAAAGCGAACGCCGTAGAACCAGTCGATGGGTCCCAGAGGTATCTGTATTCGTTGTCCCTTAGGAGCGGTGACGATGGCTTCAAACCGGGGTGTCAAGGTAGCCAAGGACTTCGGCGGGGGTGGACAAGGTAGGAGGCAGTTTGGAGTGGGAGGAGGGGAAGGTTCGAGGAAAGAGTATCCCGTATGTGGGCGGGGATGGTCAGGTCCTAGCACAGAGACACTTCAGATGGTCCGAGACAAGCGACAGGAAATTCCCAGGAACACAAAGTTGCGTAGAGCAAGTGTAATGGACTATGGGACCTCCGAGCAGCGCCAGAGAACTTGACATGTGGTATCAAGCTACTTGGGGTCGCGTGGCCGGCGCTCTGCTCGCGACCAGCTCGAGCTAGATTTTTCTTGGACAGCTCACACACCCGCGCACGACGCAGCGTGTCCGTCACCCACAACGTCATTTCTCTCCCGTCTCCCCGAGCTTCCTGCGTCTCCGATTGAATCCAGCATGCCCGACTAGTCCTCTTTCGGCGCTAGCTCCCATCTCGGGCTCCATGGCCCGTCCCACTTGTCAAGCCTTCCCTCCCCTTCCAGCCCCAGAACGACGCACCAGCCACTCCCAACGCCAACCGCTCTTGTCAATCGAATTGGCGCGCACTGTAAGACTTGACACGACTCGGACGTGTGACGGCTCCATGACAGGGTTTGGTTGTGTACTACAAAATCCAAGCTACGCATTGAGTTAGCATCGTGAAATCAAACAGTCCCCCCCCGAATATGACCCTAGAGCTGAGGCCAGCGGTACCCATAGCTGATTGCGGCAACAGGATTATGTTACATCACAATACAAAACCACGGAAACCCTTCTTGATGTCTTTTCATGTCTTCATTCTAGATGTACGCGAGCCAAAAGTCCTTTTAGTGCGCACGCTTGTGCGCTCAAAAATGCTAACCCCCCTACTACTACTATGGCGACGGCGGCGGCGGCGGCGGCGCTGGCTGCTTATTCGAGTCGGCTGTAATAAGAGAAGTCCTCGTCTCTCTTCGTCTGCCGTACGTACGTCTTTGCTTGCTTGGAACATCCGACC